AATAATACATTTCTGCTGCCACCTACTGACGCCTCAGCAGGGGCCGTGCGCTGGCAGGAGTGACGGGGAGCTGGAGTGCGGGGTTCCCCCGTGCTCCCCAGCCCCAGAGCAGCCGGCTGCTGCTCTCCAAGACGCTGCACGTGGCCCTCGCGCCGAGAGGCTGCTCCGCACGTGTGTTTTCCTGGCCATTAGTGTTCCTTCTATGAAGCATTCCCTCCCCTGGTACCGTAGTTGTGAGCTAGTGGCTGTTTTACCAAACTAGCTGTGTCTGTGAGCACGTTCCTCGGCGTTGCAGTGGTGGCAGGAGCGCTTCTGGAGTGCTGGAAGGGGCTCGGTACGCAGGGAGGGCAGTTCTGCTCCAGCAGTTCTCCAGGCACCTGCTGCCAACGACCGTCCTGAGCTGATGACTGTGTTTCAATGCTCAATGTGCTTTCTAACTGGGACAGCTTGTGCCTTTCTCTGCTCTAATCCAGATGCTTTGGAAATGACCGAGGCTCCCCATAGCTCTCTGGAAAGAACAGCTAAGGGAAAACCCAACCATCTGAATCATCATTTCTCCTCTTCAGTAAATGGCATCATCGTGCTTCTGTCAGCAACTGTCATCAAAAACCAGCTGGGCACCCTTCTTACTCCTCTTTGTTCTTGAGCAAACTCTAGGCAACTTCCTGGGAGCAATAACCCCGCTTGGAAAGCCTGGTTGAAGTGTATGAGCGTGTCCTGGATGCTGCCTGTGACCCCAGCGTGTCCGTGCGCCACATGGTGTCACACAGGGTGAGGTCGGCGCTGGGCGGCCCATTGGGGCATAGGACCGAGTACAGACCCAGTCAGGCCTGTCCGCAGAGCCCACCGCATTCCAGGTTCTCCCAAGGCGGGATGAGCCGGGTGCTGTGCAACAGGTCCGCCCGGCTGCTGGGAACGTGTTCCAGTGAAATCACTTTAAACAAGGGTGCGCTCTGCTCAGTGCCCTCAGACTGACTTGGATTTCCTGGCCGTGTGGGAGCAGTTCAGTGTTGCTGTTCTCCAGCATGGGTTATGGAGGCAATTTCAGCCATCCCGAAAGCAGCGCAGCCCCTGCAGGTACGAGGAGCCCGTGCTGCTCCTGCCTTACCTGCAGCATGCAGACGGCAGCCCCTTCTTCCCTCGCGGGGAAGATCCTCCTGCAGACAAGCGTGTGCGCCCCGCTCCATATTGGGATCTGCTTCTCGCTTTCCCAAAGAGTGTCCGCATGGAGGCCCTTGAGGAATGCCAAAAATGGCCTGGGGTGACTTTGGGAGAAACAGAACCTCTTGGCTGGCAGGTCATGTGGTGTCACCAGACCACATCCCTCTTGTACTGTGGAGCCCAGAACTGGACACAATACTCCAGATGCGGCCTCACCAGGGCTGAGTAGAGGGGCAGGATCACCTCCCTACATGCTGCCAGCGGGGCTGCGCGCTCGGGAAGGGGCCTGCCAGCCTGCGGCATCTGCACGCATGGGGGTTTGTGAAAAATATTTCTGTTTAGATGGAGGCAGTTAATATTCGTGGGTTTCAGGGCAGGCTTTGCAATGCTGAATTACAACAAAAGGCTTAAACTGCCGTGTTATCTCTGAAGTGAAGAGAAAAAAGCGAATTTTAAAGACCAAGAGGAGTGAAATTTGGACAAAGCACTGTTTAAAGGAGGAAATTCACCTGCAAGTTCCAGGCGTAACACAGCATGAATGGCTTTTGGCTGCTGTTTTGTGGTTTCTTGCTGAGCGCAGGCATTCTGTATAGGCCCTCAGAGGTGAGGATACACGTCTGGAAACACTGTCCTAAATTACCCACTCTAGACAAGCCTCAGCAGACATGTGGGTCTGGCCAAAAACTGACAAAGGCAAAGAAGCCGAATTGCAGCGCCGTAGGAAACGTTGCTTTGGTCATCTCAAGCAAGCCAGCAAGGAGCTGATTAACAGACCTTTCTTGCTGTGGAATTTGTGGATGCTGGTTCTTTCATCTGCCAGGAATGTAAGGTCTGGATGCATCATCACGCTCCTCTCGTAAAGCGCTGCTTCAGCTCTAGTCTTGTTCGCAAAGTGATGCAATAAAGTGGAGGTGGGAAGGTATCGGGTGGAACGGGGCTTCCTGGAGTGCCACAAGGTCATGGGCTGTGTCTGTGAACCACAACTTCTCCAGGGCGGGAGCTCTAGCTCTATCTATGTTAAATCTAGTGCTTCTGCAGCTGCTCTTGAAAGCAAATAGTGTGGGATCAGGAGCGAGCCGGCAGCGGGGGCGAAGTCCAAGGGAGAGGCGCTGTGCAGAACAGCAGCAGGGCCAGGTGTGCAGGGCATCCGTCCTGCCCCGAGTGAGGGCGGGAGGGCAGCTCCCCGGGGCACTCGGGTAGCGCATGTGAGCAGTGAGGTGAGATGCGGGGCGCTATGGGAGCATATCAGAACACCATAGCGCAAGTGCCGTTTGCTGCTCGGTGCCCCGCGGCTGCAGCGGACTGCCCGAAACGCAGCCGTGCCACAAAGCGGCACTTGTGGCATCAGCTCTGCTAACCCCAGGAGTGGCAAATAACCTCCAGCCAGAAGGCTGTGCTGTGTGTGAGCAGAGGGAGGACCCGGCCCCCTCACTGAGCTGGAGCCATGAGCTGCCGAGCCAGCCTCGTCCTGCTGTGCCCTCTCTATCCCCTGTGTCCCCTCTATATCCCCTGTGCTCCTTCTATATCCCTTGTGTCCCCTCTATATCCCCTGCATCCCCTCTATCCCCTGTACCCCCTCTGTCCCCCGTGCTCTTGGCCCCGCTTCTTATGCAGCCGCTGGCTCCGTGGGGCCAGCCCAGGCATCCCAGGGGACGTGGCCCTGCCGTGCTGAGGGCTCCGATCACTGGCAGCCCCTCGGCCTTCCCCGAGTAATTCTCCTCCCTCAGGCCTGCCCCGAGCCTCGTGGCTCACGCAGTGGTTTTGGGGATGCAGTTTCTGGCCCCGCTGCTCGGGAGGGCCCCGAGGGTTTTGTGGCTCCTCTGCCGAGCTCTGGGTTCCCATGTGCGTAGCCCGCAGGGCCGGGGTGCTGCCCCGGCAAGTGGTGCTGCCGGAGAAGCCACGTCCTCAGGTAGCAGCGAGCAGCAGTTTTCACCTCCCTTAGGGACCAAGCCTGGCAGGATGGTCCTGGCATTTCACTGGGAATTTGCTGCTACTTGCAAATGCTCAGAGCTGTAAACGCGGGGAAGAGCCGACGCCCAGCAGGCGCCGCCTGGCCCTGTACGAGGGGCGAGGGGAGCTGGGCTGAGCGGGAGCTGCACCGCAGCACCCGGCCTGGGTCGAGCCGCGTGGAGCGCGTTCGGGGAGGGGGTTCCCACCAGCGCAGCCGATGGAGCAGCCTCGGAGCGGCGCAAGGATGACTTCAGTGCGCGGCTGCCAGCCCGGCGGGCCGGGCTGTGACGTGGTAGTGGGTGTCAGCCCTGCTTGCTCACGGCGCGGCGCCCCGGGAGGCCGAAGGGAGTCACAGCGAGTTCCTGTCTAGACCCCAGTAATTGGGGCAAGGAGAGCTTTGCACGCCAGTTCCTGCTGCTGCCCCCGGGATTGCCTAAGCAGAAACCGGCGACGACTCCTCAGGAAGCTGCTCCCCCTTGCTGTGTGGAAAACGCTGCGGCCGCCGGGCCGGGCTGGCTGCGCCCCGGAGCGGC